CGACGACGACGACGACGACGGCGGTTACGACGTTTACATGCGCTCTCGCCCGAATGCCGGCCACTCCTTCGTTCTTGCCTCACCGCCGGCCAGTGTCTCGGACTGGCCGACAGCTCTCTGGGGTGGCGCCCGGAGAGGCCCCCGGTGCGGCGCTGGCCCCCTTCCGGAAGGGGGGACGTGCCGGGGGGAGACACCCGCCCCCCCCCCCTTCAAGGGGGGGACCCCTTGGGGGGAGATACTGTTGTCACCCCCAAACAGGCACATTTTTCAAAAGGACCCGCCCGTTTGGGCTGCTTCCGCTTGGGCCGCCTGGAAAACCAATATGTTTTCCAATCGTTTTCCGGGTTCCGGCCTTTTCTGCAAAATCGTGTTTTTTTGTTGTTGCGACCCCAGCCCGGAGGCCGAATGCAAGAGGTAAAGCACGACTCATCCGCCCATTTGGGCTGCTTCCGCTTGGGCCGCCTGATCTACCCCATGTCCTATGGGAAAAACAACATGTTTTCCATTAGTTTTCTGGGTTCTGGCTTTTTCTGCAAAATCGTGTTTTTTTGTTGTTGCGACCCCAGCCCGGAGACCGAATCCAAGAGGTAAAGCACGACTCATCCGCCCGTTTGGACTGCCACCGCTTGGGCCGCTTGATCTACCCCATGTCCTATTGGAAAACCAACATGTTTTCCATTAGTTTTCTGTGTTCTGGCCTTTTCTGCAAAATCGTGTTTTTTTGTTGCGACCCCAGCCTGGAGACCGAGTGCAAGAGGTAAAGCACGACTCATTCGCCCGTTTGGGCTGCTACTGCTTGGGCCGCCTGATCCACCCCATTTCCTATTGGAAAACAAATATGTTTTCCAATCGTTTTCCGGGTTTCGGCCTTTTCTGCAAATCGTGTTTTTTTTTGTTGCGACCCCAGCCCGGAGTCCGAATCCAAGAGATAAGGCACGACTCATTTTGACTAGTTCCGCTTGTGGTTACATTCTCGGCTGCTCCCCTCTCCTCCTTTGGTCAGTCATCGTAGGCACGGGGGTGCTAGCGTCAAGGTGATTATCGGCGCTCGGCTGCTCATAGGTTCTGTGGTGCTCTCTGGCTTCGGAGTGATGCTCACGGCCGTCGTGGTGTTCATAACCAATGTGATGCTCAGGCGTTGTTTAGCGGAAAACACAAATCGGGTCAAAACTTTCGTAGCGCCGATGTAGTAGTCGTAGTCGTACTACTATTACACCTACTGCTATGACTTCTTCTACTAGTGCTGCTGCTACTACTACTACTACTACTACTGATATTACTAGTGTTACGACTACGACTACTACTATTGTTACTATGCATATTTTTCTCACTATTACTATTCTTAGGATCCCCATCAGGATTTTCTAGGGTCCCCAGGGTCCCCTAAGGATTCATCGGGGTCCTCTATGGACCCATTCGGGTTGCCTAAGGGGTCCCTAGGGTCCTCTAAGGATTCACTAAGGTTCCCTGTGGATCCATTAGGGTACCCTTCAGGATCCATCAGGGTTCCCTCAGGATGCATTCGGGTTCTCTAAGGATTCACCAGGGTTGTCTAAGGACTCCCAAGGGCCCCCTAAAGATTCACAAAGGTTCCCGAAGGAATCGTCATGGTCCCTTCAGGATTTTCCCTAAGGATTCCCTCGGGTTCCCTGAGGGTTCCTTAGGATTGCTTCAGGATTCCCTAGGGTTCCCTGAGGATTCCCTAGCGTTCCCGAAGGATTCCCTAGGGTTGCCGAAGGACTCCTTAGGATTGCCTAAGGATTCCCTTGGGTTCTCTGAGGATCCTCTAGGGTTCCCGAAGGATTCGGCAGGGTTCCTTGAGGATTCCTTAGGGTTTCGTGAGGATTCGGTTGGTTTCCTTGAGGATTGCAGGATTCCCAAGGGTTCCTTGCGGATTCCTTAGGGTTCCCTAAGGCTTCCCTAGGGTTCCCTAAGGATGCGTCAGGGTTCCCTGAGGATTCCCTAGGGTTCCTCAGGGACCCCGAAGGATCCGCAAGGGTTCTGCATGTTTTCTGGAGCCTCGCTGGTGCTCCCTTGCATTTGCGTGGTCGGGTCCAGTGGGGAGGTGCGAGGGTCGTGCTGGATCCCATAGTCCTAGTAAGTTAATCCTGGAAGGGGTTTCCGTTTCCCGTTTCCCGTTTCTTGGGTTCCCCCCCCCATGGGGCTTCCAGCTAGGGGTCCTCCAAGGTAGAATGGGGCCTCCAGGTAGTGGACGTACTTTTTTGTTGTTGCTGTTGTTGTTGTTGTTGTTGTTGCTGTTGTTGTTGTTGTGGTTGTGGTTGTGGTTGTGGTTGTTGTTGTTTTTGATGTTGTTGAACATTATTTATTCTAAAGAATAATTATTGTTGGGCCCCCTGGTGCGCGCCCCCCCTGCGCCGCCTAGGCCGCAGCTACATTTTCATCATTTTCGTGAGGAAGCCTCAGAAAAGAGGGTGTGTACAGGATCCGGTTGTTTTGTTGTAATCCGCTTTCCCTTGCAAAAAACAATAGAAAATTACATTTCTTGTTCTAATATAATCAAATTTCAAGAATCCCTTGCAAAAAATAAGGTAAAGTGGACATTCGCGCGCGCAAGACGAAATCCTTCCAAAACCTTAGTGTTC